CTTTTTAACATTTTTTCTTGGTTAATAGAAATCTGCTTTCTCCTACCCTTCCCCCTCCCCCACATCCCATTTCGGGGAAGAAAATTCCTTATAATAAATATGCGTAGTTAAGCAAAACAAATGCTCTCACTGGCAATGTTCAAAAAATACATGTTTTGTTTTGTGCCCTGAATCCATCACCGTTGTGTCAGGAGGACTTCATCAGTCCTCAGGAATCATGGATAATTACTGTGTTAATCAAGAGTTCTTAGAGGTTTCAAGATTTGTTCCTACAGGATTATTATTCTATCAGTTGCTCTTGTCATTCCTTATCAATTTGTGCAAGTCTTCAGAATTGTTTGTTTTTAATGATATTGATGTTAAATTGTTTTTTGGCTCTACTCATTTCACTCTGCATTAGTTCATACAGGATTTTCTGTGTCTCTTTGAAAGCATCTATATCCTCATTTCTTAGAACACAATAACATTCCATTAGATTCCTGTGCCATAGTTGTTCAGCCTTTCCCCAGTTAATGGGCTCCCTCAGTTTCTAGATTTCACCCCCTGCAATAGGAACTGCTGTAAATATTTATATAGAAGACCTTTACATCTCTTTGATCTCTTTGGGGTGCTGGGGAATAGGTTTGTCATCTTTGCCAATATGATAGGTGTGTGGTAAAATCTTGGAACTGTTTTAGTTTGTATTTCCTTAATAATGTTTTAAGATCATTAAAAAAATAAGGTTTTACATAACCTGTTCTAATTGTTTGACCATTTAATCAGATGGGGAATGGCTCTTATTTTTTTTTATAAATTTGAATCAGTTCTGTATATGTCTTGGAAATGTGAAACTCTTGAATTACTTAACCTCTGAGTTTGCTTATACGTAAAATAAGAATGATAACGGTATGGGTACTATGTACATCAGAGAGAGGATTATAAGGAAAATGCTGTGTAAAACCAAAGTGCTATAGATGTGAGCTCTTTGTATACTCCACAGTGCCTTGCATCTTGCAGATGCTCAATAAATGTTAAGTGAATAAATTAATAATTTCCTTGTTTTTCTAGAAGTTCATCTTACAAGGAAGTATAAGAAGTGGGTAAATCATGCTCAAACAAGCATGAAGATCCCCTTGTCTTGAGGGATAAAAGCTTTCATAGATTTGTGTTAAGGACCATATGCTGTAATGTTGCATTTTAGACAATCCTTTGACAAATTTATGGTGGTATGTATATTTTTAGTATAAACCGGGTTAGGAATTATTGAAGAGATAGCAGCTACCAGCTTCATCATTTTTGATGCAATAAGAGGCAGATATGCAAAGTGTTTATTTAGGCTATCTTAGGGTTTTTCAGGCAAAGAATCACTTTAGTATTTCCCAAACTCCATGTAAACTCCCAGACTAGAGCTTAGGCCACCAACTTCAAGAAGACCTTGGGAGTGAAAGGATCCAATTAATGCCTCTCTAGGTTAGCCTTTTGACTAATATTGTATATGTTCATTTACTGAGTTACTCTAATGCTACCATATTACAAGAGAACCAAATGCTTCTGGTATTTTGCACTTTGCAGCTGCATTCTACGCAATTTTTAAAAATGGTCTGCAATTAGATTTTCAAGAATAAAGATGGTGATAGGTGAGGGTAGAGCATAGTGTATTTGATTTCTTCTATGTTCAACCAATATTTAATCATAAAAAAGTAAAATGTAACAGATCTGTTCCAGAAGGACCCCTGTAGGTATGGCCATCCCTAACAAATATAAAATACCCTATAACAGACTTTACTACCTAAAGCTGGTTCCTACACATCAGCTGCTTGACACTGGCTTCCCTTTTACTTCCAGTCATATGATTCAAAGGATCCCACCTACGGCATCTTCTTGTCAGATAAAACCTGGGAGTTGGGCTTGATTCCAAATGTACCCAAGACATTCCACCAATTAACAGTAAAGTTAGGTTGGTCAACTCCTTTCAAAACAAAACAGAAAAAAACTGTCTGAATACCTGGGTTCAAATCAGTGTTTAGCTTCTTAGTACCTGGTAACTTTGGTCATTTAATTGTCTTGGTTTCCACTCTCCTCTGCCTATAAAATGAGAGGGCTGGGTTGGATTCAATTCAATGACCATTTAAAAGTATTCTTTATACCAGATACTGTTGGGCATGGGGGATACACAAATATAAACAATCCCTGACTTAAAAGAGCTTACATTCTTCTGGGGTAGGGTGAGATGAGGAGGGCTGTGGAGAGAAAATACACAGATAAGTAAATGAAAAATATGTGGCAAGTAAATTTTTTAGAGGGGTAATCACAAATCTGGAAATATCAAGGTAATGCTAATAAAAATACATGCCATTGTCCCTTCAACTTCTTGTCAGTGCACCATATTGTAACTAACAAACAATTTCTTCACTTTTAGGCCAGGTTCAGTCACAGAAAGGTAGGATTAGGCAAGAAGAAACACTAATAATTAAATTCTTTCGGGGAAGCTAGGTGGCACAGTGGATAGAGAACTGGCCTTGGAGTCAGAATGACCTGAGTTCAAATACGGCCTCAGACACGTAACACTAGCCGTGTGACCCTGGGCAAGTCACTTAACCCCATTGCTTAAACAAAACAAAAAAAAAATTTAAATTCTCTCTAAAGCCAATATTAAATCTTTCGATATTTTCAGTACCTACTTCAAGATTGCTTCAAGTCACTTAAGAGAAATAGAAATCAAAACAGTTCTGAGGTTTTAGTTTATACTCAGCAAGTTGGTAAAGATAATAAAATCTGGAAATAGTCAATGTTGAAGGGTCTTACATACATAAATATGGCTGGAGGCTATTAACTGATCCAACCATTCTGGAAAGCAATTTGGAAACTGGCTTAAAAAAATGACTATAAAATGATTATACCCTTTGAATCTGAGATTCCACTGGTAGACATACACCCCAAGAAGGTTGAAAGTTCTGAATAAAGTGCTTTATGCTGTATAAATGTGAGCAGTTGTCAACTTGAAGCTAAAAATAATTCCAAGAAACTGTAGAGTAGGATAAAAACTATTGGATTATGAACTCCCTGAGAGCAGGGACCTTTTTCTTACATTAACAGTCTATCTCTCAGTTTCTGAAGAACATTAAGTACTTGAAATGTGTTGAATGGAATGAAATGACTGGCTGTGGTTGGGAAAGGGAATTCTATCACCAAGGTTCAGTATGTCATTAAACATTTCTACTACAAGTCAGGCCCTGTGTGAAGTGCTGGGGATACAAAAAGAGGCAAAAGAAAGTTACTCAAGGAGCTCACAATCTAATGGAGGAAACAACAAGCAAACAAATATTTTCAAACAAGCCCCACACAGGATCAACAGAAAAGAATTAACAGAGGGAAGATCCTAGAAGTAAGTGGGATTGGGAAAGGCTTCCCATAGGTTGGATTTTTTGACTGTATTTTAATCAAGCACATAGGAACTTGATTAATTCAAGGGACATCAATAAAGATGGAAAATGCTAAATTTTAGTCATTTTATAAACATCCTAAATTGTGATAACTGAAATAAAATTTAAACCATTTTTCTTCTTGTTTTAACTATAAGTTGCACTGGATAAGACTGTGAATGGATTTTGATTTCAAATCTGGAAATATCAAGATACACTAGTAAAAATAAATATAATCCATTATCCCTTCAGCTTCCTGTCAGTGCAGCATGCTGTAACTAACACAGGGGGAATCGCTTCCTTTTTTAGACTAGTTCAGCTCCAGAAAGGTAGAACTAGGTAATAAGTAGGGCAGTTAGATGGCAAAGTTCATAAAGTATCCAGTCTTGAGTCAAGAAGACCTGAGTTCAAATCCAGCCGAAGACACTAGTTGTGTGACCCCAGGCAAATCACTTAACCCTGCATGCCTCAGTTTCCTTATCTAGCAAATGAATTGAAGAAGGAAGTGGCAAACCACTCCAGTATTTTTGCCAAGAAAACCCCAAATAGGGTAAGGAATAGCCTAGCAGAACAGAAACAGCTGAACAACAAAGGTAAGTAGGTGGATGAGCCACTGCTGGGAGCAAAAACAAACCATATAAAAGGGGCCTGGAAAGAAGTGGAACATTTACTGGTTTGAAATTAATGAGATTTTTAAAGGAGGGAATGACCACAATTGACAAAAAGAGCTCTAGGGACTAGAAGAGTAAAGCTGTGGGGAAGCAGGATAAATGAGAAAAAGGAAATAATCCACATTTATGTAGCACACACCAAATCACATTCTCCTTACACCAGCCCTAGCAGACAAAGCCAGTATTATGATCTTTTACAGGTGAGGAAACGGAATCTAACAGAGGTAGTAACTTGTGGGTATCTCAGAATCTGGCCTCCCAACCCCTTTCTGACTCCTAATTAAGCAAGTACCCTGTTAAGTAGGTAGAGCTGCTCTACAGACCAGCTAGACAGAAAGAGGAAATAAAGTTTATGAAACAGATTGTGAGAGTACCCCCAAGAGTAATAAGTCTATTTTCCAAAGTCTTGCTCTGTGCCCAGTGCACTTGCCTGGTAAGGCAATTCATGGAAATTAGACGTTAATCTCAAGGGTTCTTTCACAAGATTCATGCCCGGCCCATGACATGACAGTAATATGGTAATTCAAAACTATTCAAGTATCTGCTAGATCTTTTTCTTTCTCTCCCTTCCCCCCCCTTCCTTACCTCCTCTTTCTCTCCTTCCTCTCCTACCTCCCTTCCCTACTCCGTCCCTCTTCTCCCACCCCCCCGGCCCTGGTGTGGTGTAGAGTAAAAAGCAACAAAATCCCACACCTGTTAGAAGTGACCTTGGAAAGTGACTCCCCTTTGAGTGGTCTCCAGGGTCCCTTCCAGATCTAAATTTATGAAACTAATCCCAGTGTTCTTTCTATAGCATGGACAGAGAAAGGTCAAGGGCAGAGGGAGGGAGGGTAAGGAGAGTGAAGAAAGCTTGACAGGTTAGACTGAAAGAAGAGCACTGGAGCTCTAGGAACGCAGAGCCAAGGACTTTGGCCCTATTCGAGGTCCGCCCCCTGCCAGTCGGCCCCGCCCCTGTCTCCTCCTGCTGCGACACGTGACCGTACAAATTCCAACCGCCTCAGAACGCGGGAAACTAGGTTGCTTTCTTCCAAGGGTCCCAGGTCCTGGGATGGAGGTGCGGGGCGCCAGGACCCGGCAGACCACGCGCCGCTCCAACAGGGCCGGGGTCGGTGAAACGCGTGAGGAAGAGGAGGGAGTTCAGGGCGCACAGCCTCGGCGTGCCAGGAGCAGCCCCCGCCGGAACGCGCCGGAGGCGGAGGAGACGGTGCAAAGCGCCACAACTGGCTCCGGCCCGAGGCCCAGGCGAGCCCTGCGCAGCTC